CTGAAACCATGAACGCGGAATTGGCGGCATGTAGATTTTCTGAAATAGTGTCAAACATTCGAAAAAATTCTATGGAAAAAAAAACTGTAACTTATAAAGAAAATAAAAAGTTAAAACCATGGATAACGAATGGTATAATTAATTCAATAAAAACTAGGGACTCTATGAAAAAGAAACTTCTATTGAAATACAATGCACATTACGAGACTCTATACAAAAATTATAGGAATACTCTCAATAGCCTAATAAAAAAAACTAAACACACATATTTTAAAAATAAAATAAACAATGATTCCAAAGATATAAAAAAAAATTATAAAATAATTTCTGAGGCAACTAACCAAATAAAATCTCATACAAATAATGTTTTACAAATAAAAAATGACAACCTGGACCTGTTTTCAAATAAAAAAGACCTCTCTAATTATTGTAATGAATACTTTAGTAGCATTGGTATAAAGATGCTCAATAAAATTGACGAACCTAAAGTACCATTTGAACTTCAATCCAATTCCTCATCATCTATGTTCCTAACTCCTGTAAGTGACAATGAACTTATTGATCACATCAGTTCCCTCAAAAACAGTTGCGCCCCAGGCCCTGATAAAATCGACTCCAAGATAATAAAAAAATTTCATCTATACCTTATCGAACCACTAAAACATATTATTAATTTATCATTCGATACTGGTTACGTACCTTCTTATTTCAAGGAGGCCATAGTTACTCCAATTTTTGAATCTGGTGATCCAGATCTTGTTAGTAACTACCGCCCCATTAGCGTAATTAATAATTTCTCAAAGGTTTTCGAAAGATGTCTTAAATCCAGACTTAATAACTTTCTCAGAAAAAATAAAATCCTATCCGAAAATCAATTTGGTTTTTGTGAAGGTCAAAATACAACTGACGCGATTCTTCAACTGACAAAAGATGTTGTTAATTGTCTGGATACCGGAGTTAACTGCTTGGCTGTTTTCCTGGATCTGGCTAAGGCATTTGATACAGTCCCACACTCGAAACTTCTAAATGTCTTAAACTCATATGGGGTACGTGGGATCGCCCTCAGCATATTTTCGAGTTACTTAAATGATAGGAATCAAACAGTCAAGATCGGTGAAACCTTAAGTGATCCGGTTAAAGTTCGCATTGGAGTTCCACAGGGAACTGTCCTGGGTCCTCTTCTGTTTATTTGCTATATAAATTCTCTAACGAACCTAAAAATAAACAATGGAACTATCATATCATATGCTGATGACACGGTTATCCTCTTTAGAGGATCTTCATGGCATGATGTTAAAACATCAGCCGAAGAAGGGCTTACAAGGGTTAATTGCTGGCTACAGACATACAAACTAACTCTAAACATTGGCAAAACAGAATATATGGCTTTTTCACTTACCTCTGTAAATCGACCACATTTTACCAGCATAAACTTGGGTGAGGGGATCATCGGGGAGGTTGAGGCCACCAAGTACTTGGGTATCACTATTGATAGGCACCTCAGATGGGACAAACATGTTGCACGACTTACCCTCAATATTCGAAGACTCATTTCTGGTTTTATATTTTAAAACATATCCTAAGCCAGAATGTGTTATTGATGGTTTACAAAGCGATCATAGAGTCGCTGATAAGGTATGGCATTCCCATATGGAGTGGTCTGTACAACAATGCTATAAGACAATTAAACGTGGTCCAAAATTATATCCTTAAGGTTGTTTATGGAAAGAACAAAAGGTATTCTACAGCCCTCTATGTTAAACCATCTTCTATAGAAAAAATTAATCACCCCTATAGTACCAGAAATAACCAAAGTGGGCATCTCATAATACCAAATAGCAACTCCAATCTAAATTTAAGATTTTTTAATTACTTAGCTCCTAAATTCTACAACCTGTTACCTATAAATATAAGATTGATACGTAAAAAAAATTTGTTCAAAAGTAAATGCCTAGACTATATATTTCAAAATTTAAACTTATTCTTGGTTTTCTTGTAAGGTACTTATTTGAACTATCGACAAATTTTGAAGACATTGGTGGTTTTTCTGTGTATACATTTCAAAATAGGTCCACTCTTATTTTTGTCTTCTGCTTTATATAAATTATTGATAGGAGCTATTGTCTTTGGTTATGGCTTATTGTACTATAGTATGTTGTTTTTCTCTATGCTAACTGCACATACAGATATTTATGTTTAGGTGCAGAATAATAACAATATCATGTGATAATGAAGTAATTTTTATTGTAGTCTATACCTAAGCGCAATTTATTGTAAATTAACCAATTCCAGTAATATATAATATAATATAATATAATATAATTTTCGGTTGTCACCCTGAACTACATGAATAAATACATGGAAAAATACACAGATAAAATGAGGGCATAAGAATAGGGCAGGACTTCTAAAAGAATATGCAAGCTTAGCCACCATGTATAGTATATTAGGCTTATCTAGACTATTTAGCTTGCAGGTTGCAGGGTGCGCTAACATCGATAAATAAAAGGCTTGTTTTATGATTTCCGGACCCATTTTACTGGGTCACCCTGTATACTTAGAGATTTGGTGCAATGATGAAAAATGCTTATTTTTGCTAGTACTACTTACAACATACCAAATTTTTAAAAAAATCGACCGGTCCCCGAAAATCCATAAGATGTGTGCGATGTCCTTTGTCAACAAGAAATACTTTGATTATAAAATTCGTCAAGAGTGTGAATTGATATTTGTAATAAGGCCTTCTTGAGTTTTCTTCTAAAAATCAGAGCCTAGGCAGCACATCTAATATCTGCAGGTAAGTGATTGAAAATGTTTTTTCCTTCATATATTATAGATTTTTTTGTAAGGGAGCTTTTAGAAATAGGTAAGGCAACATGGTTTTGTTGGCGAGTAACTTGTGCAGTTCTATCACCTTCGTTGTTACTATAGTTTTTATACACTAAAGTTGCTGTTTCAAGTATAAAAATTGATGTTGAAGTAAGAATTTTTAAGTTCTTAAAATACGGTATTCTCGGCGGTATTGGTAGAGAATTTCGTGGGTTGGAGGACAAGGGGACTAAAAGAAACTATCTAGTTTTCGGCAACGTTTCGGTTATTATTATTATTATTATTATTATTAACTCAATTGATACATTCTTCTTTTTTAATAAAAATCTCATGTAAGGAAAAGCAGATAATGAGTTTTGGGTATTGATTGGTTGGTTGAGATGCAGACAATTTCTTGTTTAGGTGTTGCCCCGGTATTTCCTATTGGAACAATCTCGATGGCGAAGGGTTTTTCCAGGGATTTTTTTGTCGCGACCCATAGTTAAAATCGGGTTTGTGATTATTTTGGTGATTGCCGCATGTCCATTTGGTTTTGGGTTTCAGGTTTCGTTCAGTTAAAGGCAATATGCCCCGATCTAGCCTCCACGTTGACAATTAGGTAAATTGGTGGGAGGTTTAGGATTGTTTCCATACTTGCCGTTGGGTTGGTGTGGTTTTCTTTACACTGGTAATATAAAGACATACAAGTGTCTTGATTTTTGCTAGCTCCAGGTTTGCTTGTTTTGGGTTCACTTTAGGCCACCATACAAGTGCAGCATATGTTATTATTGGTCTAAGAACCGTTGTGTATATCCAGTGTACAACTGAGTCAACTGACGGTTTTAGTCCTCATGTTTTCCCAATCTCTCTTTTTAGTGACATCAACGTCATATTGCTTTTGGTCTTTTGGATGTGTTAGTTTCATGTCAGCTTCATATCTAGGAAGACGCCCAGAAATTAAGCTTTTCTGCCAAACTCCAAGGTTTTTTGAAATAGATTGGGCCTTGTGGGCGATTAAGTCCTCCTGTTTTGGAGGGGTTGACGCGAAGTTGCTCCCTCGTGCATTCCATTCCTCAATCAATGATTTTTAAGACGTCCTGCATGAGATTTGATACCGTCCTGCTAAATCCTCCCCTAACGAGAACGACTATGTCATCCGCGTAGCCTAGGGTGAAGTAGCCTTGATCGTTCAGTTTCCTTAGAAGTTCATCCACAACTAGATTCCACAAGTGTGGTGAAAGTACCCCGCCCTGTCGGTATCCTTTTGTCGCGGTTACTTTAATAGATGTTTCAGTAATAGTTGAGTTTATAGTCCTGTGTTTTAGCATGGATTTGATCCATCTGCATGTGGTATTATTAATCGCATGTTGCCCAGCAGCTCTGACTATAGAGTTGAAGGAGGTGTGGTCAAAGGCTACTTCTATGGAAAGAATGACACTAGTGTGATTTCCTTGTTTTCTAGCGAGTTCTCCACTCTTGTCACCAGTTGGTGTAGAGCTGATTGGCATGATTTACCTGGTTGGAAGGCATGTTGGTTTTGGTGTAGTGGCCTCTGTTTCAGTGAGGTTTCTCTGATGTGCTTTTCAACTAGTTCTCTCATCACCTTTAGCATAAAGGACGATAAGCTGATCGGTCTGTATGACCTGGCCTGAGATGGGTCTCTGCCAAGTTTTGGGTTAAAGACCGCTTGTACTTTTCTCCAGGATTCAGAAGTTTTTGGTGTGCTTTCACAACAAAATTGAAACAATTCAATTTTCTAGAAACTGAAAATGGCCACCCAACATTCAACTCAGACGCCGGTGGTGCGCAACTCGCCCCAGCAAGACCTTCTGAGCGATTTGAACACGTTCATAAACGGCACGAAGAAAAAGGAAAAGTTCCATCACAAACAAGAAGCCATTGAGTTGACCAGAACGGCTTTGGTACTGCTGAGACAATTGCCCGGAACCAGGGGAGCAGTGTTTGAATATTTCAATAAAGTGTTTGAATTGGCTGCTTATCATTATATAAAAGCTATTGAGGTAAGTGTTTATTTATGGTTTAAAAACTCTTAATTTAGGAGAATTTTTTACTTTTTTTTCTAAATCTCAATTATTTTTTTCTTTATCCACTTGCGAAATTTCAATCTACTTAATCCATTATCCTTTCCTTAATCATTTTCTGATAAATAGTATATTTCCTTTCCTTTTTAGACTGAAATCAACACGGGAACATTGCCACCTCCGCCAGAGATGGACGAACTGATTGTATCTGAAATTCACATGGCTCTGAACGCTTCAATAAGTGAAAACTCGATGGCGTGGGCGCCAATAATCAGTACATGGTCCCTGGAACTTTTGGGCGAGATTTCTACGAAATTCTCTGGAAGAGCCCACATTTCCGCTAGTAAGTTGTGCAGAATGTTAATTTCTCGGCAAACACAGCTCAATATATTTTTTTAGAAATTAGTTGCAAAATATGTATGATGTTAATGTTATTTTTCCTTTAATTTATAGATTTCAATGAAATGCTGCATTTGTGGACGGCTTGCAGGGCTACAAGGACCCTTGTAGACATCAACACAAAATGCTTGTCCAGTTTGATCCATTCAAACACTGAAGCTTGCATCAGTGCTTTATTAGGTAAAAATTTTTCAATCTAACTAAAATAATAACAGTGAAATTTGAAGGCCTTGACTCATTCATTTTTGCCATACATTCTACTAATAATTTCCTCAAAATTGATTACAGATACATCAGTAAAACACTCTCCACATTTCGATTGGGTGGTGGCTCACGTGGGCAGCTGTTTCCCCAACACAGTTATCACTAGAGTTTTGTCCGTCGGCCTGAAAGACTTTTGTCAGGATCGCAGAGGCTTCGATGAAGTGCAAAATTCGCCGAAACTGAAATCCGTAGTCGGTATTCTGGGCCATTTGGCCGGAAGCCATGCCAGAGATATCAGGAATGCTTTGATTGAAATTTTCCAGGTAAGATCACTTTTCATTTTTATTTTTCAATTAAACCAAAACACATTACTATAAAACCCCTTTGGATAAGCATACTAATGAACCTAAAAAAATGTGGAATGTTATTCACAGCCTAACAAATGGTAAAGACAGTGTAACACAAATTAAAGCGATGAAAGATGGGAGAGATGTGGTGGTAAGTGATCCAAAATCAATGGCCAATTTACTCAATAAATACTTTAGCTCAGTAGGGAAGAACCTTGCGAAAAAGATAAATAAATCAGAAGAAAACGCGGAGATTGAAGATATCTGCGAGAATTCTATGTATCTTGCACCCATAACAGAGAGGGAAATCTTAAAAGAAATAACCGGCCTTAAAAACAATACTGCATGTAGGGAAGATGAGGTATCTGCAGAAATGATCAAAAATCACAAAGAAAAACTAACTAAGCCACTAATGCACTTAATAAATACCATTTTCCAAACAGGAACATTTCCCTCAATTTTTAGAAGTGCTGTTGTAGTACCTGTTTTTAAGGCTGGAGACAGGTTAAATGTTAGCAATTACCGACCTATAGCTTTAACTAATGTCTTGACTAGGCTTGTTGAAAGGTGCATTAAGGAGAGATTGTGGAGCTACCTTGAAAAATTTACTATTATATCCAAAAATCAATTTGGTTTTAGGAAGGGATATGGAACCAATGAAGCAATTGACAAGGTTAGCAATCATGTCGTTTCTTCTTTAAATGAGGGCTCCAAGCCTTTGGCAATCTTCCTAGACTTGTCAAAGGCCTTCGATACTGTGGACCATCGAATTATGATGTCCAAGCTGGAGCGTATTGGTGTTAGAGGTATTGTTCTCAAACTTTTCCAATCATACTTGAGCGACAGAGTACAAAAAGTAAAAATAGGAGACAACTTTAGTAAGGAGGAGGTAGTGGAGTTTGGTGTTCCGCAAGGTACAGTTTTGGGCCCATTACTCTTCCTAATATATGTGAACTCTCTCACAAAAACTCTAGATTATAGAGCTAAAATCTTGTGTTATGCTGATGATACGGCAGTACTTATAAAGGCTAATACCTGGCAAGAATCTCTGGAAATAGCCGAAAAGAGCATGACTATAATAAAACACTGGATGGACAGCAATCTCTTAATGTTGAATGTTCAAAAATCTTTTTATATACCATTCTCTATAAACAACGTAAATATTCCTACTTGTAGCATTGATTTCCACAACCGTACATGTACAGATATCTCAAACTGCAAATGCAGCAACAGTATAGCACAAAAAGACAATATCAAATATTTAGGTGTCTATTTTGACCAGCATATGAGGTGGCATGTACATGTGGATCACATTGTTAAGGGTGATCCAACGGCCCGCATTCAAAGCGTCGGAAAGGGTTTCGTAGCAGTCTAATTACTGCTTAACCATAAGTTGTATTGAAATAATTCTTGTTGTAGCCTAATCTACTAATGTGAAGGTATGTTTTTATACAATTTCTTTTTTTTAAATAATCCAAATTAGCTCAGAAACTGAGCTTAAAAATCATCAAAAAACTGTTTTTTGTGTGAAAATTTTGACCATTTTCGGAAGCATTTTCAAAAAAATAATCGTATAGAGACATAGATCTACTTTTCCTCTTTAGAAGGAAACAAAAAAAATGTCAAAAAGTTTATCAAAAGTCGAGTAATTAGACTGCTTCGTAAGCACTATTTACCGAAATTTGTAACCGCGGCGTGGCGCCACCATAAATTGAACACGGATGGCGACGAAAGTAAAACTGAACGTATTAAGTGTATTTCGGGGGCCGTTTGAGTATAAATTTCACTATTTTTTTATTTATTATTGCATTTATTTTAGTAAATTGACTTTATCGATTTCAGGTAACGGATGCCTATACCTATTAGTTATTCATTATACCTGTACCAACATGCAATTATTTTCTTTACATCTTATGTAAATAGGGTACTTGCATGGAAAATTAAATTGATTATTTCATTCATTATAAAATAGACAAATCAGACAACGTCATTTTTTGAATAAATTTTGTTTAAATAAGTGATTATTTCACAAGACCTGTTTATCAGCGATTAAATTTTTCTTTACCTTTTTTGACAGAAATTTGATAGAAATATTCTCACATTTTATCATAAATAGAACTCTTTGTTGCTGGCTTCAAACCCAATTATTCAGGAAATTAGTGATGCCGCGAGACTCGAGACTGGTTTCGTCTCGTCTCGTCTCGACTTTTCGAGACGAGACTGGCTTTTGGTCTCGTCTTGTGAAGTCTCGACGAGACGAGACCAGACTGGGCGAGAGTCTCGTGTAGTCTCGAGATTACACCTAAAATTTTTCTTTCATAGGTTTATTATTGGACTATTATGAGCTATTTGAATATGAAATCAGTAAATTAAATATCAGGGTTACTCTTTACTGTGATTTTTCACTAATTGCTTTTTCACTGTGGCAGTTTGGACTTCCGTTATAATATAAAAATAAAAACCATAAATACAGGGTGTCCGAAAAATAGCGTAAAAACTCTCCACATAGTAGAGGACCCTCTGAGAAACCTTAGAAAAATAATTAAATTAAAAAAATCCTTCTTCGGCATTATTTTTGGTAATATGAAGAGGTAGATGTGAAAATTCACCTTCGAATTCTTCAGGTAGTTACATGGGTATTTAATTTAATTCTTTGACATATTGTCAACGGGATATTTTCAGTGTTGCCAATTTTAATAAATAATAAAATGCAAATAACTTTCTTAAGAATGCCACTAGATGTTTTAAAGTACTTTTCTGGGGTTCCTTTTAGGGTCCTCCACCACATAGAGAATAGTTTTTACGCTATTTTTTGGACACCCTGTATAACTCGAGACCAGACGAGACCACTCGAGACGAGACTTAGGTACTCGAGACCGAGACTAAATCACGGTTTCGTCTCGAGATGTCGAGACGAGACGAGACCAACCCTAAGTCTCGTCTCGCGGCACCACTACAGGAAATAATCTAGCCGTATATCACTCGACCATATAAATTTAAATAGATTAAACTATCCAAATATTTTTTGCAATATTTTGCTTTTTGGCAAATAGTTTCATGCACAATAACATTCAAGTCATTGTGCATTCAACTATTTTCCAAGCAAAATCATGTTCAAAATATGTTGAATAGTTTAATCGATTAAATTTAAAGCTCTTGTGATATAATATATGATTATTTCATTCATTGTAAAATAGACCCATCAGACAACGTCATTTTTTGAATGAATTTTGTTTAAATAAGTGATTATTTCACAAGACCTTGTTTATCAGCGATTAAATTTTTGTTTACCTTTTTTAGCAGAACTTTGATAGAAATATTCTGACTTTTTTTTAATAAATAGAACTCTTTGGATAGGATTGACGCCAACAATTCAATCCTAATTATTCAGGAAATAATCTAGCCGTATACCACTCGACCTATAAATTTAAATGGATTAAACTATCCAAATATTTTTTGCATAATTTTGCTTTTTGGCAAATAGTTTCATGCGCAATAACTTTTAAATAAAAGTTATTAAGTTATTGTGCAGTCAACTATTTTCCAAGCAAAATCATGCTCAAAATATGTTGGATAGTTTAATCGTTTAAATTTAAAGCTCTTCACGTGTTGACTGTTGACTTTTTTTTTATGGACCAACGACATCAGCAATAAAAAAATTGATCCAAGTACCCTGCGTCTCGGAATAATTCTTTTTTATTAATACATACACGCAGAAAGTACATATTATGTACTATTATAGAAACCATTGTAAAAATATACATATTATATTGAATTTTTGTGACAGCTGTCACAGCCAATTAAATTTGGTTATTTTGTGTCCTGTGACTTAAGTCATCCAATCACGTGAACATTATACTGAAAGAAAAGAGATCCTATAAGCTGTTTTCACTTTATGATGTTGCTATGAATACATTTTCAGAAATTTTCTATCCGAAAAACCCTCGAACATTGATAACTGCTCAGAAATTTTATAACAACTTTCTCAAGCTTGTTGCTCATAGGGAACAGACCTCAACCATCGGCGTCGATCTCTTTCCAAACAAGCTTTCGAAATCTGTTATAAATTTCTTCCGAACAATTATCAATGTTTTTGAGTTATTACCACAGCTCATTACTATTGAAAACCAAACATAGTGAAAGTAAGTTTATTTGTCACTCATTTGTAAAACGTCACTTATCAAGTCAAAACATAAACAACGAAAATAGATTTTTACAAGCTACTGGCTCTACTGACTTGTAAAATTGACAGCTAAACTGTAATAGTACCTATATTACAATCCGAGACGGAAAATGCTTCATTGCTGGTCAAGAGGTTATCTAGTTTACCGAGATGCGTAGCGTCGAGATAAACTAAACCTCGAGACAGCAATGATGTTTTCCGTCAAGGTTTGTTTACTATTTTATTTTCAACCCTCAATTTCTGAGGCAAAAGATTTTATGGTACGAAATAATAGTGTAAATTCGCCTTAGAACGTCGAGATATACTAAACCTCGAGACAGCAATGAAGTTTTCCGTCAAGGTTTGTATACTATTTTATTTTCAACCTTCAATTTCTGAGGCAAAAGATTTTATGGCAGGAAATAATAGTGTAAATTTTCACTTTCATTTTTTTTTTGTCAATGTCATCAATTTTGACAAAAAAAAAACAAGCAGGGAAATCGGGACGGAAACGGATATGCCTGCCTAGAAGGCATATACAATCATGAGCACAAAAAGTGGGACACCCTGACAGGTCTTGTCATTTTTCGCTATTTTGCGTAAATCAGTATTTTCTCTACAATCGATTTTTTGTCAAATATGACAATCCCTGTCATTGACGTAGGTATAGCTGGTGAGCCCGTTTCACAATAGGAAAAAACGCGTGTCCCACTTTTTGTGCTCACGACTGTATAGGGTGGTCCAAATTGGACACTTTCTTATGGAAACGCCCTTTATTTTTAGAGATAGAAAAAAATGGACCCCCCACTGTGAGGCTCAAATTTCATGAAATCTTGATTGGTGCAAACCGCATTTTGATATCTTCAACCGTTTAGCCGCTAGAGGGCGATACTCGATTTTGAGCAATACCGTAAAGCCTCCATAACTTTTTTGTTTATGAAAATAATTCATTTCCGTAAAGATCTTTTGGAAGCACTTTTTCAAGCAGAATTCAGTGACGTTCTCAGTTTTTTTCTGTCTGGCTTCGATTTCGAGATATTGATCATAATCCGATTTTTTTCAATAGGACACCCTATATATCAATAGTTTATTAGAAAGCTATGCTTTCGCTGATTTCAATGATATAAGGTTCGATAGGTTTATCTCTAACAGTTTTCGAGAAAAAAAATTATTTCGGTTTTTGTCATAAGAAACAATGTGTTGGAAAAGGACTTTATCTCTGTAAGGAAACTGAGAAAGGTCTCTTTCTAACACATTGTTTCTTATGACAAAAACTGAAATAATTTTTTTTCTCGAAAACCGTTAGAGATAAACCTATCAAACTTTATATCATTGAAATCAGCGAAAGCGTAGCTTTCTAATGAACTATTAATATATAGGGTGCCCTATTGGAACAAATCGGATATTGGTCAATATATCGAAATCGAAGCCGCAGACAGAAAAAAACTGAGAACGTCACTGAATTCTACTTGAAAAAGTGTTTCCAAAAGGTCTTTACGGAAATGAATTATTTTCATAAACAAAAAAGTTATGGAGACTTTACAATATTGCTCAAAATCGAGAATCGCCTTCTAGCGGCTAAACGGTTGAAGATATCAAAATGCAGTTTGCACCAATCAAGATTTCATGAAATTTGAGCCTAAGAGTGGGGGGTATCTTTTTTTCTATCTCTAAAAATAAAGGGTGTTTCCATAAGAAAGTGTCCAATTTGGACCACCCTGTACAGGGTGGTCTGTTTATTTTGTCCTATCTCGGTATATGGAAATCTAGATATTTTATGACAAAAACTTAGATACAAAAGTTGTAGGGTTTAAATCATTAATTTGTTCTTTTATATTTGCGCATATACAGGGGGAGTCAAAAAAGTGTGACACATCAGATTAAATTTTTTTTTAATAGAACACCCTGTATATTTTTACATTTTTTGATAGCGCTTTCAAAGACAAATATAAACATGTATAGTTTGATGGGGTTGTTATGCACGGTTTCAGATTTATTTACGGTTATTTTCGGGGAATCTCCAATTTTTAGATTATTGTAGAAACGTTAGACGTTAAAAATAAATATTTTAAAGTCGGACTTTAATCAAAGGGAAACATACAAATAAACAAATTAATGATTTAAATCCTACAACTATGGTATAAAACTTTTTTTCATAAAATATCTGGATTGCCATATACCGAGATAGGACAAAATAAACGGGCCACCCTGTACATACAGTAGTATAACTGTTTAACTGGTTCTGTTCTAATATTAATTATCGGTTGCGCTACTATCTTTCTACTTGTAAGTATCTACTACTTACTGGTTTGAGTCTTTGATTTTGGGAAGCTTTTTATTTTCAATCGTTTCGCATTAATGGTGGGTCCTCATGTGCGGACTGGAAGACGAGCGCACTGGCGTTCAGGCCTGTGATTGGCCGAAACAATCACGTGACCTGTCAAAAGTGCGCTGTCACCAGTCTGCTTGAAATCTGCGGCCGGTCCGCTGAAAAGTTCATTTTATTTCTACTTTTGTTGGCATATGAGCGCACTGACCGTTTGTTGTGACAGTGTTGACGGCTATATTTTTGTTTGAAATTTGAAATTTGGAACTAATGTTATTTTTTCATTATTTTTTTGTTGACTCTTGGTTTTATTTGCGTTTTATTTTGTTGCTGTGCTGAAAAAATACCAAGGGTCCAATTCAATATTCGATGAATAATGATTCCGAACGCTTCCCATTTAATTTACATTGCTGTCAATGAGATTCGAATTAAATTTCGTATGCGAAATTTTTCAAGAATTTGGCCACTGGACCGGTATTCTCGTAAAACAGCTCAAAAACGATACGTGCGAAACAACGTTATGTTATTTCCAAAAATTCTAAACGAAGCTTTGGAACAATGGGCTTCCTAATAGCAGTTCGTTTTTCAATAAAAGGTTCAACTATAGACAATTTTGTTATGTTTCTGGTGACATTCTCAGAAAATTGAAAAATATTTCTTCCTATCATTTATCCCTCACTTCCTCAATTAAATTATTGCTTGTTCCTTGTTGCAACCTTTGTTATTCAGTGAAGATTTCTCTCACTCAAAAATCTTTTTCTTTTTGGATCTTATAAATAACAAATAACAGAAAGTTTTGCAACGTTTCTCTGCATGGTATGTCTATGCCAATATAGGAGGGATATTTTCAAGCAAAAAACAAAAAACCTAACAATACAAAATTATTATTATGTTTTTATAGGTTATTAGGTTATGTTTACTGTTTGTTTACTCTAGTCAGTCCGCAAGAGCAAGGCCGAATTTACTGTTCCATGGGGATCAGTGCGCGGAAACCAGCGTAGTTTCGATCCGCTTCCAGTGCGCTCACAGTGCGCACATGAGGACCCACCATGAGTCTTAATCGGGCTTTATTCCCTCGACGGTATTTAGCTTCTTTATTCATATTATTAATTAACTGCCTACCTAGAAATGTATCTAATAAATAATTCCCGAGATAATTCCTAAACTATGTAAACAAGATTAAAACAGTTACTTGTGTGTACTAATTAATGAATATAGTTATTACCTAATAATAATAGCATAATACCCAATAAGTCTCAAATAAAACGTTTTTTATAAATATGTGAAAGATAAAAAATATTCAATAGTGAATGAACAACAGCAATGTTCGCTGTTCTGCGGCCGGACCTGTTGCGTGGATTAAAATATTCCTTCATAGTCTCGCTCTACTTCAATAAAGAGACTGAACATCGCGCTCCACCTTTTTACTACCTCCCGCTTCCTACCGACCCGAAAAATAACCGCGGGTAGGGCTGTTGGATCAGCCTTAAGGCACTTCTGAGAATGGTCTACAAATTTTATGAATTAAGACAAATTGTCTCACAAAAAACAATAAGACAAATTTATCAAGTTCTTGTGCAGCCCATCTTAAATTATGGCATCGCCTCCTGGGGTGCTGCATGTAGCAATGTTTTGGCCTCTTTGTTTGTGTCTCAAAAGTATATACTTAAAGTAATGCTATTTAAAAAAAGGTTATACAGTTCTGAAATGCTCTTCAAGGATGCAGGTTTGCTGAACATAAGACAGTTGTATATTGAAGATATTATCAAGAAATACTATAAAAATAAAATTATTTTACCTTATGTAAATCACGAAAAAGAAACTCGATCAATTGCAAATAGTTCCATGGCTCTTCCACAAACAAATTTCGCAGCTACTCAAAGACACTACACATATACTCTTCCTAAAATAATCAATTTACTACCCATTAACTATAGAACTCTATCATATAATAAAATTAAGGAGGAACTAAAGGTTTGGATAGTTCGGAATTACGCAGTCATCGTCTCAAATATTCGTTGGTTTCGGGCATAGGCTTCGATACTGTTGTGTATTAAGTACCTAATAAGGATTATTTTTGCTATTTGTGTATATCACAATTATTGTATTTTATTGTTATCGTAATGTTATTCTATTGTTTATTTAATGTTCTAAGTAGTGAATAGTTTTTATATTTGTTTATTTATTTATTTAGTGCACACACAAATTCCTTGAGAATTCATTGTGCACTCTAAACATGTACTAACCTAGAGGATTACTCTATTGTAATAAGTTTTTTTTTTCTTTTTTTTCAAATACGTAATATAGTACTTCAACTTCAAACTTGATAAAGGTCGACAATTACGTTGTTTATTTGTAGTGGAGTTTGATCGAAACCTTTGAAGACACGGACATGAGTCGTTTGCAGAAAAAGGCCACCGTACCTTATATTTTGCAGCTGATTTCTTTGTCCAATACTTTATTGTGGTCCATTTGTGATGAAACAAAAAATATATGTAAGTTTTTCAAATTTGAGGAATAAATAAATCATGTTATGGCACTTGGAGGAAGTTTCTATATTTTGTCAAAAGTGTAAATATGTACATACTTGAATAATAAACCACAAAATGTATCTATTCTAGTATCAGTTGAAGTCATTGGAAACCTACATCATTTCATTGACGATTGGATTAAATATTTTGGTACTCCAGAGGCTTTGGAGGTAAGTTATCTATGCACTTATCTATATTTCTGGTACCTGATATGTTTTTTTTTAGGAACATATAATATCGCTTATAGTACAATGCCGGACCGGAGGATTGCAAATCTTCGACTTGCTGCTAAAATGTGTAAAATTGACGAAACTGAAGGGTTGCAACGATTCAATTAAAACGGACATTCGAGAAAAGGCTTTGGAATTTATAGGTAAGTATTTTCAATATGGATGATGAGAAGTAGTGTTTTTTCAAGTATTTTAATCATCCTCAAGCTCTTGTACCTCAGTAACTTTTCCACTTTTACTTTCTTTATTTCAAAATTTATGATTTAACATTTTGGATAAGCTATAAACAATTACTCCGCGGGCAAATACTCCTACCAGCATTGATTGCTTATTTATTTATTCTCAGTTCTTTATATGTGCCTTACAGCATTTTACTTATAAGCAGTGGCACACCCAGGGGGGATCTAAAATTGTATTTTTACGTTTAAAAAATTTAGCAACATCAAGGCGTGGGTCAGCGTGGCACCCTGACACCTCAATTTTTTTTTTAGATTTTCAGTCACAAGCCACAACCTATGTAGGGCCCCCAAACATATTTTCTGGATGCGTCACTGCTTATATCAAAATAAAATAGTACATATAGGTTTTTTCTCGGGTTTTTAATTTATATTTAGGATGACGTCATCGAACAAGGACAGACAATGTTGTCAATGCCTATTTTTTTTCTTATAATTTATTTTTTTATATTTTTATATTTTATATTTCTTATAATTTATTTTTTCCAGAATGTCATGTGTCAATAACTTTGACGACAGCTAAAATCTGTTTTTTTTTTAAAGATAAAAATCAAAATGACATTAGAGAGTTATTGGACGTGCAATAAGAACAAGCAGTATTTAAATTAACCTTATTTTGACATCTACGCATGCGCATTTGGGTCCGAAAATAAGGATTCCCTTAATAAGGTTACTGCTCGTATTTATTTGTATATGGTTAGTGCGAGGCAGTAAACTAAACTTCCCTTATTTTGAATTTCTGTAATTTTGGACGACTTTGACGTTTCGACGATGACGTAATTTTACTTAGAAAATTTATTTTTTACAATAGTTTTCCATTTTACTATAAGTAACATCAGAAAATGGGTATCAGCAGAAAATCACAAACGAAAATAAACTCTTTTTGAGGCTGAAATTTATAAAAATAGCTATCAGCTGTCAAAATTATAAATACAAAATAAGGTAATACTCTAGCACCTACTACGTCTTCCAATAACTGTTTTTTTCTTTGAAAAATAGTGCTGATGCACTAATAAAATAACGTTGATCCTTAATACTGCGAGGCAGTATTTAATAGTTCCAATAACTCTCTAATATGTTGGCAATACAATGTAAAATTGTCAAGGCTTTTAAATTTTTCATGTAGAAAAGGCTTGTGTTGCCAACATAGTTATTAAAGTTCTGTGACTGACACCTCAACTGACATCACGTGATGACAACCATGTCTTTGGGTTCAGTGGTACCGAAAACGCCAAGAAAATAAATCAATAAAATTATTAGAAGAAAAAATCTTTAGTTTCGCAAATAATCACGTCACTGGTGCTGTCGTTCAGGCTTTCACCAATAGAATCATGACTCTGAATAATCCCGCCTCTCCACATCCATCATTTCGCAATATTTCCAGATTTTTTTCTATTTCAAAATACTACACATGCCCATATTGCAAAAAAATATGTCACCAACTTGTTTATTATTGTTTCCGGTGGTTTTCGTCAAGTTTGGCAAAGCAGCAAATTCTTTTGCAGTTCGCCGTTTGGCTAGCCAGACAATATGTACCTTGAGAAAAGATGAACTTGTCTGTCACTCTTTGTGACAGCCTTTCGGGAGTACTACCTTATTCTAACAGTTCTGATCAGAAAAAGAAACGAAAAAAATAAATAAACAAAAACATATCCCTGAACACTACTGATTAATCATCAACATAATTTTGTATCTGTCTTCTAAACATGTTTACATTCAAGCTTCTTATTGCTACAGGAATCCTATTGTAAATTTTTGGGCCCAGTAGGTCAAGCTTCCTAGGTTTGCATTAATTGCATTATTATGATTTATTGGAATAACATTATCATGATTAATCTTTGCACGAGTGCAATACTGATGGTTTACAATATTATCCCTATTGTTAGTTTTATGAATATAACTAACTACACAGCTAATGTATATCAACAAATATCATTTGAGAATAAAAGGCTTGTGGGGTACACTCTGTCCTCATATATGATTTTCAAAATATATTTTTGAGTGATCATCAATCTTGTCAATGCTGATTGATAGGCTCCTCCCCAAACCAATATTTCATATCTGAGCAGTTCGACAATGGCCCTCTATAGAATGAGATCAATATTTTTTTGCTTAGAAATTGCCTGATTTTATAAAATGTATGTAGTCCCCAGTCCCCTTATTCTATCTGGAAGCTATTCTACATGAGGTTGCCATTTCAAGAATTGATCGATCACAATGCCAAGATATTTTGACTGAGGGACTTCCTTAATTCTTTGATTGGCAAATTCAAAGTACCCAATCAAAGTGTGGCCTGTTAGCATTTTTGTCAGAGAAAAAGCAATGTGATAAGTTTCATTAAAATTTAAAGATAGCCTGAAAGAATTTAACTAGTTTTTTGTTATGGCGAGACCCACTGTCATTTTGTCTTTAATTTCATTCCAAGAACTTCCATTGAACACCAAAACATGACACCAATTTTAATCTCTTTTCAGTTGCTGAGTATTGCTAGTAATATTAATACTCTTCTCCTTTGATGAAATATTCAATATTGTTGGTCCATGATGATTGTATGAGAGTCTACGATGACATCTGAATCTGAAATCTGACATTATTCTACTTTTAACAAAAATGTGATCTAATCATGAATTGCTTTTAAATCTAGTTGCTTAATTAATGTAGGATACAAATCCCAATTGATAAATCATTGCCAGATAGTTATGAGATTCATTGTTCAAATTTAGTATATTTATATTGTCACCTACAAAAAATTCAAAATCATTTTCCTTTTTATTAACTGAGTCTTCAAGAAAATTCTGGATATCACCAATGAAATTATTTTTTGGTATTGGGGGTATGGTTTATAAACCGCTGTTATACCTATACGTAAGTTTCTGATTTTACAAGTAAGCCTACTTATAGTAGCTAAAGAAGGTGGCAATTTCATAGTTGTCAATTCTGCATTTATATGTCTTTTTGCAAGTATTAATACTCCACATTTTTTGCGATTCTAATTTGCATAATTATAGGAAGTTTGATAGTTATGTATATTACAGTAATCAGTTGAAGAAAGTTTGAAAGTTTCACTAAGTACTATTATATCATTAAAATCCAATTTGAAACTTTCTAATGGCCGTTTGCACCAACCATTTTAAGGGAGGTTTACTGGTACATTTTTTAAAACACTTCATATTCAGATGAAGCAAGTTGAGAAGTATATTTTTGGGCCTTACTATGTCCTGCAGTTGGTCACTATCCAGTAATATAGTTTTACTATTTGTCTCTATGCTTGCCTTAAGTTCTCTCAAACTTGATCTTGATCCAACAATACCATTATGCAACACTGTAATCGTTCTTGCTTCTCAAAAAATCAATTTAGATTGGGAGTTAGACGGACTTGAGTATGCAAAATATGAGGACCGCATTATATCAATGGATTGTAGCTGAGAAAAGCTCAAACATTAATGATCCGGATCTTGCCGGTTCCCCTCTCCTCTCACTTATAAAGGAATTCCATGGAGTGTATGCTATGTGTGTGATTTTAACGACCATAAGCGCAACTAGGCTCCAAATTTGAGGGGTGCTACAGCACCATTTTTTTTAAAAATTATGATGGGGTTTGATGGAAAGGAAATGAGACGCTTAAGAAAAGTTAGTTTCCCAAGGGTTTGTACTTACGTCATCATTTGCCTTTTTTTTGAAAAATAGGTTTTTTTATGTCTGAAATTTCAAACAAACATATAGTTCGTTGCATGGCATGAAGGTTTTTACTTATATCATTGATGACGTCATAAATTAGAGAAAAAGTTAAGTCATAGATTAATTCATGGAGTTATTGTTTTGTAATACATTTTTTAACTTAGAATAGAATTTATTCAATTATCCGAAAATATATAAATACATTTATCCTGGAGTGAATTCTCACTGGAAAATTTTGAAATTTTCCTCTAAAGAGCTCTTCACTTTCCTCTTTCTCCTGTAAAAATTTCAAAATTTTCATGTTGCTAGTTTTCTAGAAAAAAATTAAAATGTAAAAGGGTGAATTTTTCCTTAATTTTGCCTAAATAAGTCAATTTTCTTTGAATTTTTTCTGGAGTGATTTTTCACTGGAAAATTTCGAAATTTCCCTATAATGAGCTCTTCACTTTTCTTTTTATCCTGGAAAATTTTCAAAATTATCCCTTTAGCAGTTTTCCAAAAAAAAAAATGAAATGTGAAAGGATGAATTTTGCTTAGAAAAGTCAATTTTCCAGAACTTTCCTATCGACTTTCTTTAGAGTGATTTTTCACTAGAAAATTTTGAAAATTTCCTATAATGAACTCCTCATTTTCTTCTTTCTTCTGGAAAAATTTCACAAGTTTTGCTTTATTAGTTTTCCAGAAATAAATTAAAATGTGAGGATGAGTTTTTCTTAATTTTACTTGAAAAAATCATTTTTTCAGAATTTTTCCTGGAGCGATTTTCTATTGGAAAATTTTGGAATTGTCTTATAATGAACTCCTGACTTTCCTCTTTTTTTTCTTTTGCCAATTTTCCAGGAAACAATTGAAATGTGAGAGGATGAATTTTCCTTCATTTTACTTGAAAAAGTTAATTTTCCAGAATTTTCCCTAAAGTGATTTCTCACTGAAAAATTTCAAAATTTTCCTATAATGAGCTCCTCACTTTCCTCTTTTTTTTGGAAAATTTCCAAAATTTTCCCTCTACCAGTTTTCCAGAAAAAAATTAAAATGGAAGAGATGAATTTTCCTTAATTTTGCTTAAATAAGTCAATTTTCCAGAATTTTTTATGGAGTGATTTTTCATTTGAAAATTTTAAAATTTTTGCAATAATTTCTGTAATTTTCATAGTTTTTCGTAATGTCCATAATTCTCGTAGTTTTTCGTTATTCACGTAATTTTTCATAATTTCCATTTTTCGTAAATT